GGTCGCCGCTGTCCTGGCCAATTCCCTTGATGGGGAACGCCTTTCCCGACTTGATTTCCTCTTGGTTGAGGTTTCCCTTGTCCGCCAAAGTCGAGAAACGTGAGAAAATGCGGTTCCGGGTGGTGTAGTCGCGCCCACTGTCGCCACCCTGCGAATTGCAGTACTGTACGGTGCTGCGACACTGCGTCCGGTGTCACTGGGTGCTGCGTCAGCGACAGCATGCGCCGCAGCGCCCCTCTCGGCATCACGTGACGGCGGAAATTTCGAGTCTTTTCCGCTGTAGTTCGCAGCTACACTTTCCGTGCCCAAATCAGCCTGATTTGGCCGATGCTGACTCAACCTCATGCGACCTGGTGCGGTGCTGCGGCCGCTCTGGGCCCCTCGCAACTCCGCCGCCTCCGTGCGGCGCGACGGCCCGGACACGCTCTCCCCGCTGTCCGTGTCCATGGCGTCGGCCAGTTGGGCCTCCTGCGACATGGTCCTCGGTCTCCAATCGCCGCGCACAACCAATCGCGACCTCGCCGCGCGTTGCCGCCGTTCGCCACCAAGATGCACACCCAAAATCGACCTTCCGCTGCAGTTTTCCACCGGCGCCGTTCACAATCGAGCCCAAACTCGCGGTCCTTTCCACTCAATGCAGTTCACTCGGCCCGGCGACGGTGCTGCACGTTCAATCCGCGCGTCGGCTCGCGTTTTCCGCCGCCAAATCCCGCCGAGATCCCGCCGATTCAAACGGGCCCAACGTGGGAACCCGGAATGGCGTCCGATTCAACACCCCAAACTGGTCGCAACTCCTTTCCCAGCCTTGGCGCAACTCTGCGCGCCGATCTGCACTTCGATTCAGCAAAATCCCAGCCGTTGACCCACCGAAAATCGTCCTTGCGGCTCAGCCAGCTCGGGCCGCAATCGGCCTTGGATGTGGCCTCCTTTCTCGAATCCCGCCGGCCGCTCTGTTTGGCCGCTTTGCTGCGCTCCCAGCGCCCGTCCTCACGCGCTCGGCGCGTCGAAATCCAGGCTCCGAAACCAAATGCTGTCGGCCTCCCTTCGGGCCCCCGCCGTCGCGAGGGGGCCTCCGATGCGCGTGGTGGTTAGCCGCTCGATGCTCCGCCTCCGCCGGGTCCGAATCGTCGGACTGCGCGTGCTGGGCACGGCGCTCGTGGCGGTATGCTCGGGAACAGGCGGACTCGCGGGCTCCGCCGGCCAGGTCGGCCGAGGTCGCGGGGTCGGGTCGCGGGCGCAGTTTGCTTGCGCGAGAAAGGATCATTACTACACCGCACTCACCACATAAGTGCGGTGGTAAGCTCGTGGGCCACCGGTGCGGAAAGAACTCGTGTCATGGCACCCACACCGGTGCCTTAGTGTACTGTCATTGTACCCATACACTTCATATTCTAGTAATAAGTGTCCTGACCGTTCATAATCTGATACGATGCTTTTTCCACCCAAAATGAGCTTGACGTGATTCACAACACAGCACATTGTGCAAAGCCCAGTTCTGTGCAGCCTTTCGGCGCGTTGCCACATATGCTGGACTCTGAATTTGCGTGACTACATCACACCTTCTGGAGATGTGATTGTCATGATGTTTTACAAAGGAAAGAACGGATATGGGCGTCAGATTTCTGATTTGCTCGAGCGAAGCGGTGTCCATGATCTGTTCATTGGAAGCCGATGCACAAGACGAGCAAAATCCAGAATCCATCTATTCCTAATGTGCGGGAAGTGTTAAACATTCTCGATGACAATATGCTATCATCTTTCAGTACTGAAAGAAGGTTTTTAGCCAGTAGGAGAGCGGGGACAGAAACAAAAGTTTTTTGGAATGGTATTTCGAAAAAAGGCTGCACTGGCTTCGACGTGCCATTATAGTGGCGGCAGTGAAAGAGGAAATGAGTATCAACTTCCCGTACTGAATGACATAATGGACGCAATCGGGTTGAGAATTGTGGAATAGCTTGAACAATCGATCAACCAAATCATGATTTGTTTGGCGTCGCTTTTAAAGCGACGCCGATTTCTTTGCAGATGTCACTGCCTGGAAGGTGAGCAAAATTTTGCTCAGCATCCAGAAAGTGAAATCCACAACGAAATCGTAGACACCACTCAGAACCCGCCTTGCAATTTCCGTGCTGCTTACGGTCATTTACTTCTTTCATTCGAACGAACAAATTTTTGCGTCAACGCTTTACTTGGTGCTTGTTCCGGTGTGGTCTGGCATCAACAACGCCGCTCCTGCTCGATAAAATTCCCTGAGCAGCTGGAGGGCACATGGGTCTGCTCAGGCCTCTAATTCAAGCATTGTACGGGCTGGTTGGTAAAGGGCAGTACAGATACACATTCCAAGCTCACTGGCTTTGACGGAACAATTATTCTGTCAATGTTCCACTCACAGTATCATTTCTTAGTCTCACCGTCTCGGTGGCCATCGCAGTGTATTCACCCCTTCCGCATAGTAACGTAGCGCTTGGCTTTTTTGCCGGGGAAGGCGATACAATAAATAACGCTCTTTTAATGGAGTTTTCGAGGAGCAATGTAAAAAACTTTAGAAATAAAGCTCTGAACAAAAAATTGGAGCAAAAAGCGCAACGCCAACATTTTTGATGCGGAAATGTTGAATGTACTAAGGAAGTAGCCACCGGCATTCAGGCTTGGTTTTTACGCCGTAAAAACTGATCGTATTTACGTTTTTACGCGTAAAAACAGTTTTTACGTTTTTACGCGTAAAAATGCGTAAAAATACGTAAATACAACGTAAAAACTGCCCGGTGTACATAAGGACAGTACATACAGACTAACGGAGTCAGGAGAGTGGCAGCCAGATGCCCTGGAAGGGGCAGAAAACGAGTTTTTCCTAAACACCATCATCGCCCTTGCCAAGGACGAGGTGGACACTGTGTTGGAGGTGCTGGATATGGCGGAGGACTGATCATTGTACGCAACTTTCATTGTGTAATCTGGGCGTTTCAGGTAGCCGTAAAAACGTAAAAATAGCCGTAAAAATAGGCCCTTTTGCAAATTTACGTTTTTACGCGTAAAAACGTAAAAGTAAAAACGTAAACGTAAACGTAAAAACCAAGCCTGCCGGCATTGACCCCGTTCTGTTTCTGGGCGCGAGCGTTTGCGAGAGCATTGCATTGCTTTGTATCCAATGCGCAAAGCACTTTCCGGTCAACTAGCAAATTTCGCAGCGCGGCGCCGCATGCTGCAGCCTGCTGCGATGGTTGCATGTCATACCACTCCACCAATCATATTTAGCCAAGCCGAACCCAGAACACCATCCAAAACTACTTTGGACCCCGTCGACCACTCCACACTCAAGACGCGTGTGCTCGATGGCTGCACGCCACGGTCATTTTTGCCCAACGCCGGCCCACTGAGCTAGTCGGATCAGTGACCCCACCGGTTGAGCGATCCTGTCACGCTGGGAATAGCTTCCTCCTTGCAAGAACAACATTGGCTCGGATGAAGAATCGACAGTACATTCAAACATGGGCATTGGTTCGCGGGGATGTTCAGCGCCACAGGCCGCACAAACCACATTTAAACGTGTTACGGAATTTTGTAGTCCTCCCGATGTGTCGCACGTCGCCACCCCGGCGCCTGAGCCTGCCATAGCGCAGCATAGCAAGTCCCTGAAATGCACAACATGTTGTGTACAACGTGGCTTGGGCACTGTGAGAGCAATCAGCGAGTTTGAAAGTAAGTAGACTAGTCTACTACAGTACTGTACAATCTACTTACTTTCAAACAGCCTGATAGCTCCTACCATCTTCCCCATGTGACAGATAGCCTGGCACCGATTCCTTTTTCGTTACACCATCCACGCGCGCACACATGCCCCACGTCGCCATAGCCATCGGTGAATATCTGCAGTATCGAGGCAGCGTCACATCCAGATCCCACAATCAAAATCGAGATATATTGCTCGCAGGAATCAGAACTGCCCGTGAGATAATGACGCCGCAGATATGCCGTGACATCGAGCGCCTCTTGTACATTTGTCCCAGAAGGAGGACAACGATAAAAAAAGTAACAAAAGAAAGCTATCCACCGCCATATGACCTCTTCACTTCTCTTCATCGATCGATGCACTGTGTTTTCTGCGATGCTTTGGGGTGTGACGCAATGAACGTGTAACCACGTGCAAAATTTCACAAAATGCTTCAGAATTATCATACACGGGTCCCGGAATACATTGAATGAGGTAATATTATCTACAACAGGAGCCCGAGTGGCCCCATCAGACGGCAAGCCAAACAATCACCCGCGACCCCTCTGTGCTCGCCTTGTGCAGTAACGCGTTGGAGTTCCTTATCGCGGGGCAATGCACTGGAGATGACTGCTATCACCACCAGTCAGTCGCGTCCCCTATTGTCCCTCCACAGAACAGCCGGCTCCATAGTTCCGCACTGTTCCGCCCTGCCAATGCGCAGCTCCTTGTTTTCCTTGTCCAGTCCGTTGAAGGCCGTCCGCCTGTCCACCCCACATCGACCACACTTCGCTAGGACCGCCCCCCTCGCTTTCCCCGTCGCCCTCACGAGGCCAGATCGCGATCCACACGCCAGGCGCGGCCCCTTGGCACCCATGGCAGCCTCCGCAGGCGCCCAGGACGGCATCATGGCGGTGGAACACGGACAGGAACTGGACGATGACCTCTCTGGAGTCATTGTGGGTGTGCGTTCAGTGGTTACGGCTGCCCTGGCGTGCAGGACACTGCCACTGGTCCCTGCACACGATGACAGGGGTACTTTCAGCTAAGAGCTTTGTCCCAGTCGCCAGTGGTCGAATACGAACCCAAATGCAGCGGTAAATGCCTTTGCGAACAGCTGAAGCCCATCGTCTGCCCTGTGTTGTGTGCTTCCCTGGAAGTGTTCAAATCTTCCAGCAGGGCATTGAATAGATCTCCTGAATTCATGGAACAATACGTGGCAGTACATCAACCCAAAGGCCAGAACTCAATCTGAGGCAGTGATCCCTTCCCATTGCAGGGCACAGATGGAATGATGACCATTGCCGGATTCGGATCGCTGCTGTCAGGTGGAGCCAGGCTTTAGGGTGACCCTGCCAACCATTTAGGAAAGTGGCAGAATCTCCTTAGGCTTGCACTGGCTTTGAAAATCGACGCTCATTGCTGACTGCAGAATAGCCTGTCAACAGAAAGAAGCTCAAGGATGACGTTCCCTGATCTCCAGAACTTTAGGGTGGCAAAGGTGGGGCAAAAGTTTAGGGAATGCTTGCGTGAACAGCTGGAAATGGTGGGCTGAGCTGAAGGAAATGCACAACAGACATGCGTTTTCCCTGGAGTTTTCACCCTGGTGAATAGGACTAACTGCTGTGCCTTCACGTGGCTGGGGAAGTGGCATCGCTAGCCTTCTGTGCAACAAGTACTTGGCACTGATTGCATTGCCTGTTGTGCGTTTTGGTGCCCAATTTTGGATGGTGCCTTCAAGCTCTTTTGGGCTGAATGTTGAACCAGCACGATTGTGACCTGATCGACAAGGAGATTTCCCTGATAGGGCACTCTGCGTGCATGCACCAACACTGCACGTTTCTTCTAGGACAAGCAATTCGATGGGACATGCATGTATATTTCTGTTTACCAACTATTGCAACACTGAAGTCCAGCCTTGTTCTTTAAGGCATGTCAGAAGTGTGCATGCAACCAGCATCTTGAAGCTGTTGTTGCTGTTTTCCTGTGGGATCACTTGCAGGTGCAACACAAAGTAACATCTTATTCCATTTAATGACGACACTGTGTGTCATGTGGTGGTCCAGGTTCCGGGGTATCAGCGAATCTTTGGCCACTGTGCACCCATTTTCTTCCAGAGAGGCATTGCAAATCAGGAAACAGTAAGAGTTGTTGGTCAGAGGCATTTTGAATCTGATGGAGCGACAACATGCATGTTGTGTGCATGTATCAGAGAAATGGATACAATGACAATGCAAGGCACACCATGTGAGCCCCTTATGCAATCCACAGTCACTACAAGACTCTCCTAATTTGTCCATATGCACAATTACCTTGCTGCTTGAATGCAATATGGAGAGGATTTTCATCAAGTTTGTTGTCAAGTTGTTGAAACAGTTAATCAATAATGTGTCATATGTAGCTTGGTTGCATGTTGCAATCATACTCTGCAGATGCAGAAAAGGGCATAGCAGGGTATGTCGATCCTGTGACGAAAGTTTGACTGCTGCCTGTGTGGTGCAGGGCTTGCAGCAAATGCACAATGCGCATCACATTATCTGTTCCCCCACAACTCACTTGTGGAAAAGCGGAGTCCCTTGTGCAGATTTCTATTCAGAAATTGCCATTCATTGCTGGTAGCACAGTTGTGGGACATAAGCATATGCAGGCCTCGTGCTGTTGTAAGGAGGGCTGGGGAAGATGAACGTATGGAACATCAAGGAAACAATTGACAATGAACAAACCCTCCTGAGTGAATGCCCTTGTAATACTCATTTTAATGCTATGAAAGATGCTGGTGGTGCCTGCACTGGTTCTGTGTGGAGTGTTTGTCCTGTCATGTGCTGTCATGCTGTCTAATGTATAGATTGGGCTGACATGAGGATGGAGTTGTCTGGCAGGGTGAGATCTCTAGTGTGGGTGTGGAGCCATGTGAAGGGAAGGAACTCTGGGTGGCAGCCTTTGAGGTCGCAGCCACCCCACAGGCTGTAAAAGCATTCATTGAGCGGGAACACGAGTTCCGGTTTGTGGCCGTGCGCCCTGTGACGCCTGAGGGAGTCCCAGAGGAAAGGATGGCAGTCCTGTGTTGCCGGTACACGGACAAGGAGTACCGTGAACGCCGGTGTCCGCCAGAAGAGTTTCATAGGCGGTATGGTCAGTACGGTATTGACACAATTTTCAGGTGAGCAGATGTAGTGAGGCACCTGGAAGCCATCCACAGCAGCAAGTTGCATATACATAGACTTTGTGCAGCGTATGGCTGACCATTGTGTGATATGCCACTGTTGCCTAAATTGCTTATGGATTTGATCAATTATTAGCATTAGTTTTCTTATGATATTGCAGTTATTGCCATTTGCAACATTGCTGTCAATTCTTTTCTGTGGATAATACAATATTTGGTGACATTTAGGCCTTTGTGTTTGCGAATTTCCTGTCCAGTTGAAGCTGATCTCTGTCATTTCTGTTTTTGAGTCCTTTGGTGTCTATCTTTTGGGGCTTAGTGTTCATGATGGTGGGCATAGCACCAGCAAATCCACAGATTAAGCAGGCCATAAATGTATCATCAGAGAGAAGGCATGCTTTGCATCTTTGGGGGCTCAAAACAAACTCGTGGGTCATGATGGATAGGGTATCCTGCAATGCACTGGCTCATTCACCAAGTGCGGCTTGTGTGTTTGTGATGCAAGTCCATTGCAGTGCATGTTCAGATCACCTGTCCATGCCCTAGAACTCCAAGGGCCATGATTTTATCATGTTGACCATAAAGGTCAAGATTATCACAGTGTCAACATATGAACCCAAGACTGAAGGACGATTTAATCCATTTGTGGGGCCGGCACACCAGCCGCCATACCATAATCACGCTCCCTGTTGAAGTTGCTGTTTTGTCAATCCTTTGATAGAGAGACAAGCGCTGTTCCAAGTTGCACATGGGGCTTCTGTTTGACAGCGCTACAAATTTGATTACCTTTGTATCCACTATGCTGATTTTAGTGGTTGGTTGGTCAATTGGCTGACTGATTGATTGAGAGAAAAGTGTGTAAGACAATTTTCCTTGCTGTGAATGGATGCAAAGTCTTTGAGTGCAATGGCAAAGTATGCAACACAAAATGCCATGCAGAGCAATAGCCGAGGCAGTCCAAGCAACCATATACAGCACACCATATTGGTCACCTCCGCTCATAAGTGTAGCCCCTTGCATGACGTGTTTGCAAGAAGAGCAGTTGTGCAGTAGCACAGGAAGTCTGCAGATTTAGTTGTGGGAAAACACATGAGCACATCTTTTGCAGCGGAAAACTGAGTCTGAATAGCAGTACATGGAAGTACTGGTGCTCGAGGTATTAGTTCATTATCAACTGCATCGCTGACCTGGTGTCTTGACACAGGGATGACATCCTTCCCTGCCGTGTGTACCTCCGGCATTGTGTTATGGCTGCCAAAGGCCTCCATCCACGGGTCTTCCAAAACTTCATGGACCACTCTTACCTTGGAGATCGCACCACAACAGTGCGGCAGCACGTTGAGAAGCACCCTTCCATCATGACCACACTCCCACCACCAGAGCTAGAAGAACGATACAGTGGATGAAATAACAGGTCGACATTCTTAGTTAGAGATAGTGCACAGCAGATCTGAATGTCCATCTTGGTTCCTGCCTTGAGATGTGGAGCCTGTGGCAGTGGGTGGCCCTTGTTTCTGGCAATGATGTCTGGCTCACAGGTGCATTGTCAATTTCTTAACTGCACTTGTCAGAAAAGGGCGCAGCACTGCTTTTGCACCTGCAAGGACGGCACGGACATGCATGCGTTTGTCTCAGTTCCCAGGCTGGGGGGTTTGGAGGTGCAGTGGCCTACTGAATTCTGCATGCCAGACTGTTTTCTTTCCATTTCCCACCAATGTGCACATGGTTTGGATGAGCAGGTTAGACGGAATTGATTGGAGGCAGGCAGGTTGTGCGCAGACGAATGCCTGCTGGCCAGCGATGGCCCTCAGCGCTGCTTCACACAGCACCCCTTTACAAGTCTTTACCACTGTTCACATCGACGATATCTATGTATGCCTTCCGCAGCTCCTGACCCCGCCTGATTTCTTCTGCTGTTTCCTCCATTGTTCTTTGAAATTCGCCTATCAGCCGCACTGTGCTGGTCTCTGTGCTGCAGCTCTCGCTGCCTCTACTGGACTCCTGAATTTGCAGTACTTGGGTGTGTGGACCACCGTCGCTTCCACTGCCTCTGTCATTGTCTTCGCTGCACTCTTGAATGTGCAGTGAAGGGGCATGTGAACTACCGCGCTTTGGGCTTTGCTGCGTTGATAGGTGTGTGCCACTATCATCTGGCATCTCCTGATGAACTTCCAGAATGCCTCTCGACTCTTCAGTTCCTGTACTGGAACCCTCACTGTTTAGGTGGGTCCCTGGCTCCAGTGGTGTTATCAACTGGGAAGCACTGGGACAGTCGGCTCTCTTTGCCGAAAGAGGCACCACATTGTCTACCATCAGATCATTTGCATGCCCTTCCACTTGCGTTGAAATTGGAGTGTGGACATCCTCTGCTCGTCCCAGATGGGGGTACTCCTCATGCCGGCCGCTTTCCTGGGGTGCCCCATGCTCACTTCCTGTAATGACTGACCCAAGATCCGAATCTGCATTCCACCCAGTCACTTCAACAGGTGTGCACAGTGCATGACAATGGATTCCACCTTCCGACCTGTCCATCTCAATGCCAGACATAGGAGAATTCTGGCTCGACTGTGGTCCGTGGCCTCTGTCAACCACACTGGCTACAAAGGCATCGAGCTCTAGACGAGAACACGAGTGCTGCTCGCTGCCAAGTTCTGCCACTGTGTCATGCTCAACATCGTCTGGATACACAGCACGCCCCTCCAGACCATCCTTCTGCATGCCCCGTTCAGCAGCGCGATTCGAGGTGGGATCGTAGGTGCGATCCCCACACATTTGTGCCACATTGCTCCTGTCCCAAGCCCGAAGCTGGTGCCCTGTTTTGGAAAGGACCAGGTGCGCTCTGCCAGCAGGCCAGCAATCCTCCTGCGAGGTTCCTGACGAGCACTCCAGACTGCCGACAGGACTGACTATGCCGGGGAAATACACATCATCCGCTGCACCCGTGCATCGACATTTGCCTTGCTCACTCCACTCCTTGTTCGCGGGGATTGGCATCGCGTTGTTCCTCTGCTGTTCCTGATCCCACGCCTTGCGCAGCGGCTCAGCAGGAACAACAGCGGCTTGGTGGGAAACACCGCCACGCTGTGTGTCATCCAATAGCTCATGCTCAGCAGTGGGCAGAAGAGCAGCTTGGTTGGGAGCATCACGTTTTTGTCCCTCGTCCCATGCCCTGTTCTCAGCGGTTTGGGGCAAGACAACTGGGCTGGTAGCTACACCTGGTGGTGCTGCAGTGGAAGGTGGATCAGGTCCAGGCTGTCTGCTGGGCGCTGTCACCTGAGGCCCCAGCGCTGTGGGTGCCCCACAGCCTTTGCCCCCCTTGCGGACAGAGCCAGCAAGCGGATTCGGCCCCCACAGGGGATCCTTCGCTCCGCTGGCATCTGCACTAGGCAGCGTTCCCGAGCAATCTATCTTGTTTGTGGGACAGACGTATTCAACACAGAATTCAACGCCTTCGCCATCTTGATGCCACGGGTAAGCACCTGTCACCCTGCCCATGAAGGGGTCAGGCACACCACCTGTGAAGCCCGCTCCTGAAGCCCCTTTGTCTGGGCCATACATGGATGGTGGCTGACTCCTTGGCAGGGGGGTGGGACACCGGGCCTCAGGCTGCTTCCTGTGGACATATCGATCCTTGGAAATTAGCTCTGCAGAGCCTGAATGCTCTTTGCAGGGGGCTAATGAGGAGATGCGGCCATCTACATGGAGTGCGCTGTCCTGGGTCGTCTCTGCTGTTTGCAGTCGGTGCACCTGTGACATCAGATGATGATCTTCAGGGCCCACTCTAGTCACCGCGGCATCAAAAACAGCAGTTTGTGTGCTGAAAGTCTTGAGCCAATCCACCTGCTTTTACTGGCTCGTGCATCCTAGACCCATGCCACAGCGCTGCCAGATCAGTTTGCAGCCAAAGGACTTAACACAATTGTCAGGTCGCTTGCGGCAGCTGCACATTTGTTTCTTGCACCAAGATTGTGACAACATGTGGCTAAGTTTATGCGATACTCACAACTCTGTAGTCAGCTGTTCAGCCCTGGGCGAAGCTCAACACAGCAGTCCTCACATCCAGCTCGGCAACTCAAAGTCTGTCAGGATAGCATTCACTAGGACATTAACGAAAATCCATCGTCCACCCACCCCCTGGGCTCTTCAGGCAGCATCTGCCATAATTGAGCATGATCAAAATGACCTCATGTGACTTTGGCAGCACCGAGTCCAACAGACGTCAAGAAGACAATCCTTTTATTCAGCTCAGAAGCCTTGAGGTACAAGTTTACTGACTTCGTCAAAGTTTTCGAGACCAGAGCTCTTGCCAACTGCGGGAACTTGCTTGCCCACACCTCTTCTTCCAAAGCTGCCACTGCTGCAGATGTCTCTGCCAACTCTGCGTTTAGCATGCGTACCCGCTCTTCGAGTGCGTCGTTCACTTTGCACAACTCCAGTGTTTCATTTCTCTCCACCTGCAGCAGGCTTTTTAAGTGAACGAAGATTGCCACAGTTGCTGGATCGAAAATTGTGGATAGAACTGCATTTATGAACATATGAACAACCAACTATGCAGCATCGTCCCGAAGGTGCACAAGTTGCGATTTGTCACTTAGCGATCCTTGGGTAAAAAGGCATTCGCATTTGAATGTAACAGCACATACAAAACAACACACAATAATGCATTTCAACCACGTTATGCATAGTACCAAGCGCAGGTGCATGCGCTTTGACGCACTCGCTCAATCTTTCAGGTGGACACCACTGGGCCCTTTAGGGATTAGTTTAGAATTGAGAAACCAGCCTGTGGCTCAATTGGAGAATTTCTGGCTCGGGACAGAAGCAATGCTTCCTGGTGACTGTTCGCTTGTTCCGATCAGTCACAAGCGCGAAACACACACCTGCAGGTCCTGCTCCAGCCGCCCCACGCACTTCCTCAGCGTCACGCACTCGGCCTCCCTGGCGTCCAGTTGGGTACGGAGGGCCCGGGAGGCGCGGTCCGCCTCTTTTCGAATGGCTGCGTTGGAGTTTCGAATTTCAGTGGCGTTTTGGCAATTCGGGTGTCGCATTTTGAGCCTCAAATTTCGGGTGGCTGCTTGTTCGGCTTGCAGCCTGCCCGTCAGCTTCACGATGAGGTCTTCCTGAAATTTCTGTTTGCGAAGGCAGGCCTCCAGCTGCCGCTTCGTTTCCAGGCAAGCAAGGCACTTCGGCGGCTGGCAATGTGCACAGAGGGGTTGGCCGCTTCCAGCGCCAGTTGCGACGAGACTAATCGTATTTCGATCAAGCGGTTCCGCAGACAACGCACACCGACCTTAGTAAGTTGAAAAAAACTGAGCTTTGAAGTTTGGAATTGCGACTTGTGAATGATCATCTGTGGCCTGACCATCAGCTGGTCGGAGGATATTGGGACAAAGGAGGCCATACCCTTGGCAACTTCGTTGCCTCAAGAATTGGGGGTTTTAGCCTTGGTTGGCTCGGAAAAAAAGTGCATTCAAATGGATGCCGATTGGGCGCCTGCTGACAATATGTCGATGGCACATGTTAGACGATGTCGCAGAGCTTTCCTGCTGCTCTGGGATGCTCATCAAGGACCACCGTTAAATTCCAGCTACTGCTTTCAATCTGCTCACTTGTCGTGAAGACTCCGCCACTTCTTTGAGCGCCAGCCACACCTGACTCTCAACTTGGTGCCCGATGGACTGTACTTTGGCCAGGCTCGCCCCAAGGAAGGCTGCCGCAAACATGGCCTTACTCAAATCAACGCACACGCTGTTCAGCTGCTCTAGGGTGGCCTTCAGCTCCTTCCGCAAGGCCACATTGTCAGTTCGGAGCTCTTCTGCTTCTGCGAACGACAGTGGGGCTCTCGGCGGTGCCACCTGTATTCCCCTCATGGCAGATGGCAGTAAATGAACAAGTATTGGACACCTTGTCAATGCTC